ACGTGTGCTCTTCCGATCTTAGACGGAATTCTAATTTCCAAACTCCAATCTCAATCTCAGTCTGCTGTGCTCTCATTGGCTGAGCATCAATCTCAATCTTAATCTCAATCTTATAGCGTTTTTGATTTGTTGACTCGATCCGACTCCGAGTCAAAATAGTCTGTTCTTTTTAGTGTTTCTTGTATACTTTAACTATTTTTTTATAGCTAAAAAGAACAGACCATCGACTCGGAGTCGGATCGAGTCAACAAACCGAAAACGCTATAAGATTGAGATTGAAGCTCAGCCAATGAGAGCACAGCAGACTGAGATTGAGATTGGAGTTTGGAAATTAGAATTCCGTTTATTTTTTCAATCTTTAATTTTAGCCAATGGCTTGACGACTTTTTGGTCACGTGATGACTACTGACATTTTTACCGATAATGATAGAGCAGATAGAGGTTAAGTTCGTACAATAATAAACGTGCAATTAAATTTAATGCACAGGCAAGTATTGTTATAAACAAAATTTAGTAAATTATCTTAATAATATATGCAAATATGTATATAAACCGAGCTGCTTTGTTTGCCGAACGCAGCAATATTGTCAATTGCAATGCAGATCACGATCTATAATGTGATTGGACAATCTTCAATCTCAATCTTAATCTCAATTCTCCAATGCCTGATACCGGCTTAAAGACCGCCAAACGTGTCGCCATGTTGAAATTAGGAAGGAATGCGTTTGTGAACGCGGCGGATCCGCGTGTAAAGGAGAAAAAGAAGAACGACGACAAAGAGCACTTAGCAAGTGGAAGCTGTGGAAGGCATTCGCGATCTTTCGTCTCTCTCGCGTTTCTTCGTACGGTATTTCGTTTTACGTCGCGCGAAGAAACCCCGCGTGTGCGATGTCGTATTCGTCCGCGCCCGAGCAACGCGCGATCCGATAGTTCTCGCACGGCGAGCGGCGTGAGATCCCAGCGGCTCCCTCGCGTCGTCGGTACGACGACGACGATTCGCGCGCGTGTCGCACGCAACAGCGGCCCCATAACCTCGCTCACGACCACCGCGTGCCGAGCGAGCGTGGTGCGGTTCCGCGTCCGTGGTCGCATCGTGGGGAGGACAATCGCCTCGCGAGCGAGTTCGCGCGGCTCCGTTTGTCCGTGGAGGAGGCGGAGCAGGAGAGTGCGTCCCCGAGGAGGGAGCAGGTGGGAGACCGTAGGATAATGAGCCCGTTGAACCGGGGCCCGCTCATGGGGCCTAGGCTGCCGCCGGCCGGCATGCGGCAGCTCCCGCCGCCCAGGTTCGTAGGTAGACTGGTGCCGCACGGTATGCCGCCGCGGGGGATGCTCCCGCCGCCGATGTTCGGCCCGGGTGGCCCGCGGCAGAGGCTGCCGCCGCCGCCGAGACCCGGCCCGGGCGCCGGCGGCGTGTCCCGGCCGAACGGCATGCTGCCGAGGTTCCCCCCCGGCGGCCCGAGGGCGCGCGGCTTGGCGCCCATCGTGCCGTCGATGGGACCGCGTGGCGCCGGATTACCGCGCGGGCCGCCCATGCGGCCGTGGCCGCGACGGTTGCCGCCACCGCCGCAGATGATGCCGCACATGAGGCCGCACATGAGGTTCGGCAACGGGAACGCCAAGGGCAAGGCGATAAATAACGCGAAAAAGGTCAAGATCGAAGTACGTACTTTGGTCCCCCCCCACCCTCTCCCCTCCCCTTCCTCCGTTTCATTGTTAAAATTGTTCTTATCCGTGAATCGCATATTAATCTTGGGAAAAATATTAAAATACTCTTGATTTGTTTGATTCGACGATCGCATTTATTCCCGTCGGTCATAGATTTAAAAGATAAAGTATTGAATAAAGTAGTTAAATTCTGAAAAATTTTTATATTAGCTGTTAAGTTTTGGTACTCAAATCTTATTGGAAAATGTAATTGTCTAGGAATTAGAATTAAAAAAGCCATGGATGACAGACGAAATTCGTAACGAGATTCAAAGAAAAAACAAACTGTACGCTAAGGCAAAAAAGAACAAAGATGCCGTAGAATGGGAGGAATTTAAGGATCTTCGAAACAAAGTAACAAGGATGATAAGAGATGCAAAAAATGAATACCTTGCGAAACATCCCGAACAGGTATCTTTTTTTGTCTCTGTTATGACAAAATTTTTTGAAATTGTTTTATATTTTATTTTATTTTTATTCATGAAATTTTACTTTCTTAAATACTTTTCACAAAGGAGAAATAAGTATAATTTTGCATAATATTTTAATAACTTTCATTTTCTTTTTATCTTTGTCTATATCATTTAATGTAAATTTATTTATTATTTTAAAATGTGTATGCAATGTAATGAATGTGGGTGTGCATGCTGTGTATGTGTTAGAATATGCGTAATGCACAAATTATTACATAGATGAGAGTTAATTTGCACAGTAATTTTTTGCACGCTATCTCGTTGTATATGAAAAAAATTAAACTTACTGTAATTGAATATTTTTCAAAATTAGGAGGAAGTAATGCAATGTTTGTTTACGTCTTGTTCTAAAAGTAAAAGCATGAACTGATTGATTTTTCTAATAGAGGAATGGATTACAACTTTTCCAATTATTACGTATGACCAATGATTTTTCTTTTAATATTAAAATTAGATATGATGATAATAGCATGAGTTAATATATGGTGATTTAGGTATATTTCTTGAGGAGTCACACGAGACGTTACTATGCATCTCAGATTTATATATATATATATATATATATTTTGTTTTTTTTTCTCTAATAGAACGCAAATATTGTATATGGTACATTTTGTTTCTTGATGACAAATGTAAAATGTGCAATATAAATTAAGATGTGGGAATGAGTTAATAGCAAATATATTATTATAAGACGTACGTTTTTTTTTCCTAACTCTAAACTCTATATTCTGCAAACGTATGGTAGTCATTGTGCGACGAAGATCCGGTCTGTTTCCTTCAACGTTGATGGCTTACTTTGATTTTACAGGGTGATCAGAAAACAGATGATAGCAATACGAATGAATCCGGGGGTGTTCAGAAAACTGAGAATTCAACTGAACAATCAGAACAAACGGAGCAAACAGAGGAGACGCAGCCTTCCAGCGAACAGGCACAGTCTTAAGCTTAAGAGGCTACTCCTCCTGTTAAAGAATTCAAATTACATACAGCACAAGTATCTGTTTTCAAACTTCAGAACGATTTGATCCTTATGTTTTGATACTATCTAGCAAACTTTTTTTACCCGCATCATCGCTATAAGTTCAGTACGATCTTGATATATATATATGTAGATACTTTATCTCTCTTTTTTTTCATTATTTTTTCAATGTTTACCGTGATGACTTTTATATATTATTTACATCGTAAGTGTGTATTATTTAAAAACTTACTGACAAGGATAATGTTGAGAAAAATAGCAGCTACTTGAAATAACAATAGTCTTAGAGCATTAGACTATCTCTGTGAGAATTAACGATTTGTCTTTTTATATATATATATATTATATATTGATATGTGTTATCTACTCCATACAGACGTAGTGTCGGATATAGTTCATTACATAAGCACTTGTAACGAGTACAGTTAATTAGATGTAATAATTTTTCATCAGGCATGTAAAAACTGGCCGCTTGTGAATAAATTTTTCTCAAAGTTCTTCCTTCCATATCTAATCGTACATGGCCAGTGTACAGTGCCGCAAGCTATACCTATGTGTAAGATGTATAGTAATAGAGTTATGGTGTTTAAATCGTGACATTAAAATAGATGACGAATTTATAAATTATTTACAAAACGAGTTACAATACAATTTTAATGTATACCAGAAAGTCTGACGTAGCTTGTGGCTCTGTTAGTTTAGCTCACTTTTATAAATGATCATGGTTATATATATATATATATTTATATAATACACACATATATATATATATATCTATACATTTATATGTATCATAATTAAGAGATACTTCATTTCATAAATAACTTCCAGAAAATATAGAATGACATAAAGAAAAATGAATTTGTAATTGAAATGCGTATTATAAGAATAAATCATATTTCTATAAGTTCTAATTCTGTGGTGTTCCCCATTCATTCTTGTCATTACAAATCACTAAAGTTGGACGTTTGAAACAATCGTTCTGAAATATGAAAATAATCTTTTGTGAAATTTTCCAATTTAATAATTTACATCTAAAGACTGATGAAGCAGTGATTAATGTATACGAGATGATAAAAGTACATAAATCTTATTTTTAGAATATAAAATATGAATAGAATTGCGTTAACATATATATATTACTGATTACTTATGGAGAAAAATATACAATTGCGATTATAAAGAGAAAGAAAATATTTTATACAATTTATGAAATATTTCAACGAGCCTTTAATATTGCAAGAGAGAGTAAAATGCACTACACACAAGTGTATATTACCATACGAAAAATGATTAATTAATGCTTCGACAAAATGTGCGCAAATTTATTTAGTTGTTTAAATGTAAACGTTTTATATGTATAGAATTTCTGAATACCCCGACTGAATACCCCATAGCTTCAGATGTTATCTGCACAATAATCATTTATTAACAAGAAGGTAAATCATTGATAATAGACGCACGGTACAAGATTATGGTATTATATTTGCTTATAACTGAAGACAAATGGATTAGTGACAAAGTTGTTCAGTAAAATTGTAAACAACCTAGGATTACGAATAACAACGTATTGTGTTTCATGTGTTACGAGCAAATAAGCTTATAGCCAAGATCTTTGTGTGAAAAAGAAGGGTGACGATTTTTAGGCTCACCTGCATCCGGTTGACGAAGAGTACGATGATCGGAGAGACGAAAATTACGTCAGTTCCGACGACGACAACGCGACTTACTATTGCGAGGTCTGCGACAGAGACTTCCCGTCCGAGGTTGGTCTCACCGAGCACAAAAGCACGCACATGCTTTGCGGAATTGACGGCTGCAAGTTTTCGGCGCATCCACTGCTCGTAGAGAAACACATTAGTATGCAGCATCGTACCGGTTTGTACCAGAGGATGAAGGATCTGTCGACGCCGGAAGATATCGAGAAATGGATAATGGAGCGGAAGAAGTAAGTTGAATAAACCTGCAAATGCATTGTAATAAGTACAGGTAACAAAAATTTGTGTTTCCCGAATAAAAAAAAAACAGGAGGTATCCCACCGAGAGCAACATAAAGTTGCGCAAGGCAGAACAGCTGGAAAAGCTACAACGGGGAGAGGTAATCAAGCAGAATTATAATGTACGAACGAATACAAGGAAGACGGCGAACACACGCGAGAAAAGACGCAAGCCTCGCAAACGTATTGCACGCGAAATTACAAACGGTCATGTACATAAAGAAGAAACGTATAGAGGTTTACATCCGTTTGCTGGTATAGGTAAGCTATATGGATATAGATTTGTATCAGTTTTGAATATAGTTTACTTTGCAATGTTGAATAGAGAAAGCTCTGAGAGCCTAGAAATGTTTTAAATTAATTGACATTTTAATTCTGTATTGAAAATCAATCTTGAATTGTAAAATTTAATTTAAGTCAATTACAATCTCTAATTAGTTTATATTAATGATTTAAAATTTTGTTCCATTATTTTATCATTTTATAAAATATTAGATAAAATTGATTCTTTGCTGTAGGCAATTTGCAAGATGATGTGGCTTGCTTAGACGAACAGATGAACGGAATAGATTTGCATGAAAAAATTATTGATAATATCTCGGATGAGGAAGATTTACCGCAAGCACCTACAGCAGCCGAATCTACTGACCACACACCGACTGTAACTAGTTTGCCTACACAGTTTAGCTTAGTAGCGGATTACGAAAGTGAAGACGACGGTAAATAATGCAAATCTTAATGCTTGTTAATTGTAATCGAATATACTAGTCCTTTATCATTTATATTTTCTAATGTCTCGAAGTCTGTGCAATTATTAAAAGTTAATTTCTTATTGATATAAATATTTTTTCATAAAGCAATCTAAGGCAATTTTTGTTTTTAGATGATGGTCCAGAAGAAGTGTCGATAAAAAGAATAAAAACGGAATATCTACAGAATGATAAAATGACAGAAGCGGAGAATTTGCAGGATGATAAAATGACAGAAATGGAAAATTTGCGAGATGATAAAATGATAAAAACGAAGAATCTACAGGATGATGAAATGATAAATACGGAGAATCTGCAGGATGATAAAATGAAAGGAAATATTATTCATGAAGAAAATCCATCCGCGCAAGCTTCTAATACGCAATCTTGTACTAACGCGAGTGATGAATCAAATAACAAATTTAAAAATACCGTCGGTAAAAATGAAGATAAGCAAACCCGCGAATCAAATCAAATTAGTTACAAAAATGTGAAAAATCCACGTAGACATAGTAGCTTATTAGAAAAATTACTTTCGCGTGCTATACAACATGAGAGAAATTTAATTTGCCAATGTGTGAAATATATTATAGAAAACAATTTCTTCGATATAAAATGATCTGAAATAGTAATTATTACGCGAAATTTAGAAACAATTTACGTGAATCTAGAAACAATTTTACATTTATAGACCTCAAACCTTTTAGCTATTAACATATTTTTAAAGTAAAATGTAAAAATATTTATAAATACGAAGTGTAAAAATATTTATAATTATGAAGAAAAGGTCTGTGATGTCTATTAAACCTATATATTCTATATTTTTCTAATTATAATTTTTGCAATAAATATATTATCAATCAGAAGACTTCTATAATCATTTTTATAAAACCGTCAATCAATTTATTTGTTTCGCATGATACATAAGTTATGTACGTTTCTTTTTCTTCTTCGTGTGTTTTTTCTCAGATTCTTGTATGCTATCGTCTCCCGATGTTGTTCTCTTTTCACCGGTCTTTATGGAGATAAGATTTTTACTGTGCTTGCTGGACAGCGCACTGGTCCACTCCGTTTCCGATCCTTTGATAGCGTACTGCTCCAAGTTTTCTTTCTTCAGTTTCTCTAATTCCGCTTTCTGCTTAATTTTTAATTCCTACAATATAGAACGTTATTTTGACATTTCTTACATAAGTGGGAATTAGAGAATTAATTAGAGAATTAATTATGCAAAGTGCAAACCTTAGCTGCGCTTTCTAATTCCTCGTGCAAACTTTGTCCACCCCGAGGATCGACTTTTACTTCGCTTCCGTTAACCGATTCTGTGGTCAACATAGTGCTCTCGATGTGTTTCTCCGCGATTCTGTTGAAATATTGAATCGATTTACGTATTATACGATTGAACAGACCGAGCAACTGTGAAGACAGTAGATTCAATTCCTCCGCCAATTTGTCGACGGTTTTGTGCTGCAGACCCAAGCCAAGTAAAATTGCCTAGAAATTATTACATATTTTACAGTAACAAGAAATACGTTTGGTATAAAATAAATGTATCAAGAAACGTCCGAAATATCCTACCGACTGCACTGGCGAGAAATGAATGTCGTCCATCATATTTAAGAAATGCAGACGGGCTAACGACGGCACCAAATCCATAATCAGATGATAATCTGCCATGTTGTTACTGTACATTTGTAAGCGCTTCAGATCGTACGATGTAAAGTGAACGTTTAGTGTTTCCTTATTCAACGCTGAAACAGTTTCATTTCGAGTTTAATTTAAATCTATGATTATGTTAATTAAGACGTGTCTTGATAGAAATTAATTTCTAGCATATGAGTGGAGAAATTAGTTTTTTAATATGTATAACGTTGGAGTAGTCGGCGATAATATATACACTTTGATTTTATAACAGATCGATTGAAGTATGAAGTGAATAATAATCCGTTTCAGGATTTATATATCAACTACTGTTATCACTTAATATAACTTATATTATAATAGATTATTAATAATTAATATAATTATACTTACCGATAGATTCTAAAGATATTGTCTTGTTAATTAATATGCTCAATGCAAGTGACGCTGTATAGGTGTTGAACGAATAGGAGAGCAGACTTAAGAATCGCCGACGGAAATCGCTCCAATAAGCTTGCAACCACTTATCGTTATCCTGTTCCGCGTTGATTTTACAAAGCATTATGCACGAATGCTCTCCCGTTATGTCGTTCGCCGTTTGTCTGAAAAATCATACGAATTTGAAAATTGATCGATCTCTTATTCTATCGCATTGATATACACACCGTAAATAAACAGGCAAAAAATTCGACCGCTTCCAAAATTTCAGCAGATGCTCGGTAACTCCGAAAGACACTCCAATGTAATCCAGATGTTCCGGATGCCTTTCGCTCAATTTCAATAAAAGCGGTGGCAGCGAACTGCGAGGTTCTGCAAGCAAATACAAATAAAGCATTAATACTGTACAGTAAATCTTATTTTAAAAAAAAAACCTCGCATTTTACTTGAAGAGGAATTCTACGAATAGATAAATACGCATAAATACGTTAAAATTATCGTTAAAATTACGAATAAATTAATAAATACGTTAAAATTACCGTTAAAATTACGAATAGATAAACGCATAAATACGTTAAAATTACCGATATTTTCTTCTAATAAACCGACTGCTTCGTCGGGGACATTTTTTATCTCTGTCACGGGCTCTTGCACAACGCTTTCACTGATATTAGGTATTTTCATCTCGTAGTATTGCTTCAACAGCTGCAACGCACGATTACCGTAGCCCATCTGCAATTTGTTATTCCTTTAGCAAATTCGTACAACTTTTCAAAATAAGTCGACAAATTATCAAGAAATACGCACGCCTTGGTAATCGGGATGCGTAGCAATCCTAACAACGCGCGCGCCGGATAATACTGGAAAGTCTTCGTCTTGATATTGCTGAGCGATCGTCCAAGGTATTAGATCGCCCGCTGCCCTACGACCTCGCGAGAGACCGTCGTTTATGCTAGTTTTGCTGACTTGGCCTTCTAGGCAAATCTGTATATTAGAAAATAAAAAATAAATTTCTCATCCACAGAATAAATAATTCAATTATAAAATTAAAAATTAATTTAAAAAATATATGCATTCTAAATTTTTTAATATTTAATACTTGATTTAACGAAATGTAAAATATCCGAAAGTCAAAAATTTATTTGGATCACTTATTATACTACACTATTAATTGAGATACAACTAAATTTAGATTTCATTAAATTGTACTTACTTGAAGAACTACTAATATCTCAGGTAAAGTCTTCTTATTGGAATCTACAGGTCCCAAGAGACAGAATAGATGATGCGCAGGTGCGTCAGACATCATTTGCAAATCATTAGGGGTATTCTAAAATATATTAATAGACAATCAAGTTAATATTAAAATATAATTTCATAAAAAAAAAAACATATTTTCATGTTAAGAAAAAACGAAGTACATACTTTATAATGCGATGCAACATACAGAGAGACCAGTCTCTGCAGAAACAGTTCAGAAGCCTTGTGATAAGAGAACAATGTATCTCTGAAAAAAAAAAGGAATTTATTAATTTTTTCTCAAGTCACAAGCATTTGCAAAAATTACTTGTATCGTTAATTAAGAAAAAAATAATACCTGTTTATATAGTACAACTGACACATATCGGGAGGAGGACATCCGGAAAGAATGGGGGCGTGCGCTGTAACATTCAGGCACAGTAAATCGCACAGCCATTGCTCTACAAAATCACCCGGCTTGTAACGTATCGATTCGTCGAGCGTAAGCTCGTGCAATTGTCGTCCGATAAGAGTTTTCTCACTCTGCTCCTTTTCGCCTTTCCCGTTGTGGCTATTCGACCCAGCAGTCTGCGTCCTCAATTGCTGCAGCAATTTGAGCGACAAAGACCGACCCGTGCCTTCATATCTATAAATATTAACGAATCAGAATGGATAATCTAGTCGATATCTTAGGAAAGCTTCTCCGAATGCTTCTTACCCGTTTATAGTTGACGCGAGAAATATTAGGTAAGGCCCGAGCATCGCTTTGACATAAGGTAACGGAATTGCTGCTGCCTCGTCGATCACAAGCAACTCCGCTTGATTTAACTTGTTGGTGTCTGTTGGATGTATATACTGCACAAAAAAAAAACTACAAGTATATAACAATCATCATCAATAACAATCAACATCCTCTACTAAAACAACTATATATGTTATAATAATTATTATAGCAATAATAATTCGCAGTACTGTGAAAAAGTCCGGATATCTTATTGCAAAGCAATGAAAATTGTATCGATATATTTTACTCTTAAAAATGATTATGTAATAAAAGAATTCATAGCTTTGTGACGGAGTTACACACCTGAATTGTTTGGCGATGATCTCGAAACACATTTACGCGCACGGTGGCCTTGTTGAACTCTGGATTTGTGGATTGCACTAAACCGTAGTCGAGATGCTCCTGGTATCCGAGCGCGTCGAATCCTGCGAGTAAATGTATCATATTTTATACGTGTTGACGATTTTTCTCATATCTTTAGGTCTGTTTTTTATAGCTGAACTGGCCATACAAGTTCAGAGTTTATCTTTCTTCTTCCAATGTAGAAAGATAAAGAAGAAGATAGACTAGTTCACAGTTTATCTTTATCTTTCTACAATGGAAGAAGAAAGATAAAGATAAACTGTGAACTAGTGCAGCAGTTCAGCTATAAAAAACAGGCCTTTTAAAATGACGACTAGTTCAACGTGAACTCCTACCCTTGAAGACAAATTCGAAGAGAGTGTTCAGGTTCTCCGGACTGGGACTCGAGATGTATATGTTAGAGTATCCGAACGTAACAGCTCCGGCGATAGCAAGACCCAACGCAGCGGACTTTCCGCGTCCTCTAGCTGCGGTCAGCGACACAGTAGACCTCAAAGTTTTCTCGGAGATACACTCGATAAATTTAAGGACCGCCTTTGCCTGAAAATATTTAAATCGCGCACAAAGTTCAGAAAACATTTAATAATATTATATAAATCATTAATTTATTTTGCATTTTAATTTACCTGGTCGACTGTTTTACAGCAATTAATTAACGCAGATACAGGCTGAGTATCCTGCAGACTCTCCTTCAAAGCATCCAAGTTCGACTGTTCCTCCGAAGCGGTCGATTTATGCACAGGTTCTATCCTTAAATTGTGAGAGGAAATAGGCAATACATTCAGCTGGTCATCGACGACCAAACATCGGGTGCATGAAGCCAGCGACAGCATAAATCTCTCGTTAAATCGGCCTATTACATCCTAAATTAATAAAAAAATCAATAAGAAATTGTATTGTACAAAACGTCACAATACATCACAAAATACATATATATATATATATATATATATATATATATATATTATTACTTTATGAGCTTCCGTGCGAAATCTCTGATGAACGTCCATGTTCATCGTATACAACTGCTTCAGAGAGTTCACAGACTGCAGCAGAAATACAATGATTCCACCACCCTCTACAGTTTCAATTGTACGCGCCAATAAGTTTGGTGTAATCGCCTCAAAATCCTGAAAATATTAAACACAACGTTATAATAAAACTGCAAAATAATTAGATATGTAAAATAAAGATTAAAAAAAAATATATATAATATGTACGTACCTGTAATATACACATGCCGTATGTATTACCCAATATTTTATGTGTCTCGTTGTAGTAACAATAGCGAATGTTAGTTGAAATAACAAACAATTCAAACGGGTCGTCCTCATTAACGTCTAATTTACCCGACTTGATTTTCTTCTGCAACGATTTCATTCGTTTCTTTCTGTGACTGCTGAAGCCCAGTTCCTTCTTGTAGCACCACAGCACGGAAGGTCTAGCTTTGACAACAGTCTTGGATAACATGTGGTGCAACAGCACTACCTAAAAGAATATCTCTTTTAATATGCGTATTATGGAATACAGTTCTCTTAGAATCTAAGCGTTGAATCAAATCAGTAATAACGAGTAAATTATAATTTTGAGATCTTTCAAAATTCCTTTGAACAATAAAAAAAACAGTCTCAAATTATTTAATATTTAATTAAAAATTTAGATCTTTTAAATTTAATTTTTAATTAAATCCTTTGATTCACATTAACTGTTGAAATTAAATTAAAGACCCAAAAGTTCGTGAAGTTATTTAGCTCTTACTTGGTCTCTCGCTTTCTCGCCGATGACGACGAACATCGTCCTGTGTCCCGTGGCAACGCCATTCTCTATCAAGACCCGTATCCGATTGTCTATCTTCTTGCGCACCATCCCGATCGGAATATCGCGTTTACGATAAACAAATACACTTCGAAAATCGTCGAAATCACACCAGCCGGCCTCGTGTCGACTGTCGTGTGCTCCCACAAGTGGGTCATCGAGCGCGTCGCTCTCTCAGATGATGAACTGCATCGCAATTTCCAGCCCAGAGGACAATTTCCAAATCCAGCCTTCCCATTGGCAGAATGCTCCAAATTGCGACATGTGCTCCGAAAAACGTTGCGACCACGTTGTTCGTTCGGAGCAACATTAAATTTCTGTATTAAATTTAAAAAAATCCGAAGAAAGAAAAGAGTAGTAAAATTAAGAATGTGTGTTCATGCATTTTTGTTATTCTCACCGACGAGATATTTATTATAAAAATAGACCGATCAATCCTGAATAAATTTTCGTGATCATCAAAGAGCCTGGAGATAATTACAGTCGATGTTATCGACTATTGACAAATTTATTGTTAACATAAAATATATTCGAATAATTTATAATACATTATTAAAATCATGATTTTTTCATCATATAAACGCTTTATAAATAATTACAAATACTTATATATAATTATGCTATATATACATACAATATAATCACCGACGAGATACTCTTAAAGACCGACAGCCCTGGGCAAATTTTCGTGCCAGCAAATGGGCCCGGGGGGCCCGGAGGTAATTGCAGAGTGTCGATGTTATCAACTTTTGACATAAATTTGCGATTTATTTGAATAATACATTATTAAGATTATAATTTTTATTATATAAATGCTTTATAAATAAGTATGAATACTTATAATGCTATAATATCAAATATAGTGCCGCAAAATTACATTTTTTTTTCAACTGTTTTACCATCTCTCTGAATAATCGAACTCGTGTAGTAACTATAAAAATGCAGTTTTAAATAAAATTAACTATTAGCAAGATATAATACATATGAATTACAATGTACAATGTCTAAAAAACATTGATCTATTAATAAATCATAAAATTAATTGCCACGCTAAGTCCCGAAAGGGGTGTCGGTCTTTAAGAGTATCTCGTCGGTGATATAATATATCAAATTTCAAACGTGGCGCCGAAATGTCGCCATATGATCCCCCCCCTCCTCCGCCTGGCCGAAAAGTGACTTCACGCTCCGTTCATGGATATCCACGCACGTCCACGGTCGTAGGCTCCACCACCACGGGAATAATTTAGGTTATGGTGAAGAAATGTGACGTACGCGGTGAGGGTGGGTGAGGGCGAATCGCTGACGGGACGAGCGCGCGATGTGACTGTCCGAAATGAATGGAGGGAGACCGATGTGCACGCTCGACTCGCGCGAATCCTCTCGACGACGTACCGGCACGCGAAGGCGGGAACACCCCGGACGAAGCGGCCGCGCGTCCGCTCGGCTGTTTTTTACATAGTCCGCAATTTTGGTAGCCTCGTATCAGTCGTGTCTCGTTCAATTCGGCGATAACTTCACCAGTGCGTCACCTCGCACGCGATATTCTTGCTCTCCTCCCAACTTCTGCCTAGCTCTAGGATTACTCGGCCCATTCAGCGCAACAATAGATTAGGATAGATTAGGATGATCCGAAAGATTCTGCCGACCTTGTAAGTACATACATATATAGTCTGCCGCCGATTGTCTGACATGTATATACCTCGATTATTTCATCGTGAGATTGTATCATTAATGTAATTTCATCCTCTTGATATGTTTGCACTGGAAGCTAACGTTAGAAACTCGCTCTTCGATACGGAAAAAAAAAAATGGTAGAGAAGATCCCGCTGCGGAAGACCATCGCACGATTGGACTTTCCAACGGTCATAGCCTTCGGCAATCCTCTGCTGGACATTCTTGTGATACTGAAGAACGACGAGCTGATTAAGAAGTACAATCTCAAGATAGACGGCGAGACGGAGCTGTGCGAGAAGAAGCTGCAGGAATTGATAGCGGATCTGCCGTCGGAGTTAATGAATACATTTATTAGAAACACAATTGTATGCTTGGCACTGTATGTCAATTCTAACTCTTTCTGAGGCTCGATCGCACTAGCATTCTTTTGACTTCAAGCGAGGCTCAAAACTCTTTTTCTCTTTTTTTTTAAAAAGGACAGACAGAGTTTTAAGCCTCGCTTAAAATCAAAATAACATATTGATGCAATCAGATTTGAATGTTTTAATTCAAATTTATTGTCATTTGTGTATTCAGAGTATATTCTATACTTTTACGTTTTTATTCAGCAAATTATTTATGATATATAGAACACTGAAGACGCAAATCATATGTAATATTAGTTTATAATAACAGACAAGGAGTTGTATTTAATTGATTTTATTTGATCTATTCTATTTGATCTAATTGATTATATTTAAAAGATTCATGTTTATGATAATATATTACACATGTAACATGTAAAGAACTATATACAGTGCAAGCATTGATTTCTTTAAATTTTTATTTGTACATATTGCCCAATTATTTGTAAAAAATATATAGGCTGCGTTCAGGGAGAATTTTATCAGCGTTATTACATTATTTTATTCTTGTTTTATGTTATGTAATGAACGATGAAGATAAAATGACATACTAACGCTAATAGTATGCTTCTCGAATGCAGTCATAATGTACATTATAATACATAAAAGTTTACACTGTTACATATATAATTTTTTGTTAAACATAAAGTATAAAAAGAAAAATGTCCACACTGTAGGATTGAACAGTATACAAATCCCGGAGGATCTGCGCAGAATACATTGAGGATCTTGCAGTGGCTCTGTGACGAGACTCACGAGTCCCAAATCAGTATTTTCTGCGGTGACCTCGGAAACGATCAAAGAGGTTCGATTTTAGAAAAATTAGTTCGACTCGCAGGAGTCGACGCGAGGTTGGTAATATTCACAAAAAAAAACGTTACTGAGAGTTTTACAAAATATGATAAATTTACAATCTACAGATAATATGTATTTTTTTTTTTATTAGGTACGCCGTACATCCAACTTTGCCTACCGGATTGTGCGTGTCTCTCGTGTACGGTACCTCCCGCAGCCTCGTCGCTAATCTTGGCGCAGCTAGTGTATATACGTTAGACGATCTGAAAAAGGCCAATCTGCAATTAGATAGCGTAAAAATAATTTACATCGAAGGGTATTTCGTGACGCACAGCTTGGACGTGGCCAAGGAGCTGGTCAAGCGGGCGCAGGAGAAGAATATCATTGTGGCGTTCAATCTTAATTCCTTTTACATATTCCAGGTATGTGGTGCAAAATATTAACTTATATGAAATAATATAATTAGTAACTATTAAGTCGTTTGTTCACCCGAGCTCCTCTAATTTCCGAAGGATCATCAAGCGGCCATTTGCGAGATGGTCGGCCACGCTAAGATCGTATTTGGCAACGCGAGGGAAATGATCGCGCTGGCACAGGCGTTGAATGTCAAGTACGACGACGTCGCTGACATACCCTTTCTGCTGAACAGCTTGAAGAGGATCACGATGGACGTTTCTAGCGCTAATAGCAAAGACTGGCTGGCCGACGACGGTATATTCATCATGACGCGGGGCGGAAACGCGCCGGCGATAATCGTGTGGGGCAGGGGACAATCCGTTCAGGTTCGTTTCGATCGGAAGAGAACAGATACGATCGGGAGAGCGACAGCAGGCGGTAGGAAATTCAATTTTTTCTCTCGCACGTTGTTTGTTACGTCACCAGGTGCAGCCCGTCGTGCCTAAAACGCCTATCGTGGACACAACCGGCGCCGGCGATGCCCTGGTGGCTGGCTTCCTGGCCGGCGTCCTGGCCCGCTGGGATCCGAAGAGTTGCCTAGAATTGGGATGCAAGGTCGCGTCCTGCATGACAACCAGGCTCGGCGTCACGCTACCGAGCGGCGTGCCGCCGGACTTTCTGCCATAACGGCTCGATCTCTCTAGGACGCTAATGAAACTAATCGTTACCTGAAATAACGTATAATCGCGCCGTTATTTATTGCCTGCAAAAGTTCTACTTTATGTCTATTTCTACCAGATTAACTTTGATCCAGGTTTAACTTACTTTGTATCCTTTTCTACTTGTAAAAATTAGAAAAGGATAAAAAGTAAATAAAAAAACCGTGATTAAAGTTAATCTACATTGGTGGAAATCGACATTGCTACTAGCGAATTAATCGGCCGTTAGAGCGTATGACTAGCATTCCTCGTCGATGTTACGTCCATGTTCCGTTAGATATTTATTTGATATTGATTTTATTTATAGCAGGCGCGCGCGTGTCGCGTCGCGAAGTGATATAATATTCAGAGAAGAGTTTTATTTATTTGATGACTACCGCGTCGCGTTGGAGTCGTCAGAGACTCGAGTCGTCAGACTACCGTACCTATTTCTAAATGCAGCGCTAGTATTATTATTGTATACAAAGTAATACGAGGGGGGAGAAATGTTAGAGATTTCTCTCGGTAATCGTTGCCACTAATAGATCTATAGATAATTTATCTATCCGATGTTGCAATGTCCAGAAATATGTAACAGAGTTTGTAATTGACAGTTATACAATAAGTTTCCCTTTCTATTTTTTTATTATACAGTATAGAGTGGCGTGTCGATGTTGTTTATGTCATATAGATATATACATACAAATATATATGCGCAAGGAAATGTTATAGAAAGCATTCGCTTTCGTTTTACTTTCATCTTTTCACAACGATTTCCTATTACGGTGTCTTCCTTGTTTCGATTGTGTCAATTTTCAATCTTTCTAACGTGTAAAGTTAATCCCCGATCAAGCTCCGATTAATTTAATCAATAATTTATAAAGCAGTATCACAATAGCGGTATCTCGTTAATATATGGATATTTTTAATGTTTTAAGGTATTATTTTGTTCCGACACTCGACGCTTATTTTTAGTTTAAAAGCAGTAGTCAAAATTGACGAATATCAAGCGTCAGTTTTGATCACCTGATAGCTGTTTTGACGTTAAAAATGAACGTCGTGCGCCAGCATGAAAAGGTTTATTATTTAACAGAAAAAGCATAGGTCAATTATTGTACAGTTAAATAAGCTAAATAAATTATATAATTTATATAGTTAAATTTTGTTTCAAGCAATTCTGCCGGTTAAACCATCGGAGATGTTGAAAGAGAAGCCTGAATCAAGCAGTCGCACAATTTTTAATTATTATGTTTATAAATAAAATTTTGCATTTTGTGGAACAAATGCAGAGAGAGGTCACGAAGACTGTGGACGTTACCCACCGGGAAAGTATCCGGTTATCCAGTTGAGAGGTACACGTTTTCTGCGCTGGAGGGCGCCAGTGGACGGGTTCCATTTAAACGTCGGCTGACGGCTGACTGCTCTCCGAGGACCGATAGAGCTCCGATATTGCGAAGTTCTACTACGTTGGAACGTGGCGAACGTAACCAAGCGCGAGGCTGAAACTGCAGCCTGCTGGCGAGGGCGACACGATTGTAACGCGCGCAATTTTTGTATTGTCAGTCCGACCGCGATGTAAGAAAAAAAAAAGAGAGCGGAACGACATGCGTCGCTCAGCCTCAGTGAAGATCTACGAAGATGCGTCCCCGAGAGTTTTGACGAGCGGACATGGGGGGATAGGAGATAGGAGGCGTGCCGATTGACAGGAGTTATACATATGACTTGTCATCCACGTTCACCGTGTTCACGTGCAACAACAACAACAACAACAACAACAACAACAACAACAACGACGACGACGACGATTACGATATAGGGCTTCTCTTGAGGCATGCCGCGATGTGCGCCGCGTCGACGTAGAGTAACGCACGTTATTTTGCATCCCGACCGCGCCGAGGCCGCACCGAGATCATCATGACGCCGCAACTGGCGCGGGAGAAGCACGTCAAGTACTTCCAGAGGTTGCTGCAGGTCATGCCGAGCAGCCTGGCGGACTTCGACTCCACCAGGCCGATGATAGCGTACTTCGCGTTCTCCGGCCTGGATCTGCTCAACTCGCTGGACGAGATCGGTGAGCGGGCGAAGTCGGAGGCGATCGACTGGGTGTACCGGCTCCAGGTCGAGGGCGCCGGCCCGCGCTCCGGCTTCCAGGCGTCCACGACGATACCGAGGGACATACCCGAGTACCAGTGCGGCCACCTGGCGATGACCTACACCAGCCTGGTGACCCTCCTGATCCTCGGCGACGATCTCAGCCGCGTGGACAGGCAGTCCGTCGTCGAGGGCGTCCGGGCCTGCCAGAATCCCGACGGGTCCTTCACGGCCATGGTCACGGGATGCGAGAGCGACATGAGATTCCTCTACTGCGCCTCCTGCGTCTCTGCGATTCTGGACAATTGGTCGGGCGTGGATGTCCCAAGGGCCATCGACTACATCTTACGAAGCATTGTAAGCGCTCGTTCACGAAATTATTATCCCTGTTGTTGTTTGTTGATTTATATAGGAATCGTTATCTTCTTATCCCTCCTTTCCGCCGGTGTAACTAATAATAATAATAATCGATTATCATGATGATTGCAGTCGTACGACGGCGGTATCGGGCAAGGACCGGGTCTCGAGTCCCACGGAGGCTCCACGTTCTGCGCCGTGGCGAGTCTGTTTCTGATGAGGGAGCGTATTAACGTATCGGACATATTGACGCGGGATCGTTTAGCTCGGTTAAAGCGTTGGTGCCTTATGAGACAGGACGGCGGATTTAACGGGAGGCCTGGCAAACCGTCCGACACGTGTTACAGCTTCTGGGTTGGCGCTACGCTCGAGCTGCTGGAGTTCCTCAATTTCTCAGACGCCGAGCAGAACAAAACGTTTATCCTCAACACGCAGGACACGCTCGTCGGTGGACTGGCGAAGTTTGATAATATTCGGCCTGATCCTCTGCACACATATTTAGGTAAACGCGAGAGACAATTTGCGGTCTTGTTTCACAATATTACGGATGTTCCTTTTTTTTTTTCCACAATTTACGCAATCAAACAGGTATCTTAAATAACGACGCAAAATTGAAGTGTACGACTTTCTCAACAGGTTTGTGTGGCTTAAGTCTCTTGAGACAGCCTGGTCTGTGTTCGATAAATCCCGAGCTCAATATTTCCCAACGAGCTTACGAGCACTTGCAGCGGATTCATAAAAAGTGGCGGAGCGAATGACTTAAGTGCATCAGCATTCAAGGGACTAGTGATCATATCAGAAAACGCACAGTACTTACTAATATCAGATCAGACACTTTCACGTTCGATCGTAATCCCTCGTTCGCATTTCATCGCATTTTCTCTGTGCTAAAATTCGCATTCTAAAGATGTCAATTAATACTGCTACAATAATCACGACATGGACAGTAATGGTTTATTTTATTTGGGACTGTTTGTTGAATGCTTGTTATAAATATATGTATTAAATTATAGATATACATTGATATAGAAAAAAAATATTAATAAAAACGATTTAGCTTACCATTTGTAATTTGTATTTTTTATTCAAAGTATTTTTAAGTGTCATTAATAATCCTATATTTGTTCAGGGAGAAATGAGACTATAATATATTTTCTATATTTTCTCTATTTGCTACATTATCGTAAGTTGATATAATTAACTAATTATTAATTGATTCTTCTTCATATAAAATTAGCAATCTAAAATTAAAAGTAGTAAATACAATCTAAAAAGAATACGTGTGACATTTTATCATATTATTTTTATTTAATAAAAAAGTAAAATGAATAATAAAATGAATAATAAAATATATGTATATGACACATAAATAACGATTCTTAAATATTCTTCTTGCATTTGTAACATTTTCATTAATTTTTTATTAATTTTATAATAAAATTATATATTAATTGTACATACAAGAAATTAATTTGATTATCATTAAATACCGAACAGTCATGACGGCGTGACTGTATTTAGATATGAAATACGCGTCTCGAATGCGGAATAGGTCCCGATTTATATATAACTAAATAAAATATACATAATAAATTAAATTCATACATAGTAAAAAGTGCAAAAAGAGCGAGGGTATAGCAAGACTAAAAAATCGCTGAGAATCGCGATCGAGGTAACTCTGGTATATGGGCAAATGACATTTCGCAAGGACGCCAATTCAATAATACCGTGGGTGAGAGCGAGCTCTTCCGTGGGAGAGCTTCCTATTTTTCGACAAACGTCATTTTCGTGTCGCTTCCTCGAGAAATTTCATTTCGCGGAAGCAGTGCAGCAGTTAGGTGCACCTCGCGCGCCAGCACCACCCTTGGGCGCACCTCCGCCAATCGCGCGGCTCGGCGCTATGGCAACCGGATTCGCTGGATACGCGCGCATCACGGGCTGAGAGCAGACGTCGCTCGGCCGTGCACCGCGACGGACGTGCGCCATCACCGAGCGCGACTCGACGCGCAGTAACAGTGCGCGCGTATATACGGAGCGACGGCCCGCGTCTCGCGAATCCTGTGTTTCTCGCGGGTCGCGCGCAACGGCTCTTTTCCACGCACCCCGGCTCCGCGCGTCGCCGCGCAAATTCGGCCGAAACACGGAAGCGCCTCCGGTCCCGAGGACGACGCCGGATCCCGACGTCGTCGCGCGCGGCGCCTCGCGCCCGTGGAGAAGTTTCATCCCGTCGTTCGCAAGTCGGGTCGCGCTCCCGCGACCCACAGCGTCGGCAGAGGTTAGTATATGTGTGCGCGACAAATTCAAATTGACCGGATCGTCGCGCGCCGTTGCGTGCGAAATCGCGCGTCCGCGGGCGCGTCCCGGTAGGGTAGGCGAGGGGAGGGGGGGGGCGACCGGATCTTTTCCCAGCCCGTCGACCACTCGAGACTTGTCGACCGCGCGGAATAATAGCGCGAGGAATAATAGCGTTTACATTTTATTCAACGCTGGAACACGATCAGTTGGCGCGGGATTGAAAGTAAAATTGAAACTCGTCCGCGCGCGCGTTTGATACAAATGTGCGATAGCGTTTTTTTTTTTTTTTTTATAAAAAAGATAAAAATTGTTGGGTTTACCTCTATGAAATTTACATAATTTGTACGAGTACCAATGCGAATGTACGATAGCGGTTTTTTTTAAATAAAAAAATAAAAAATTGTTGGGTTTACCCTTTGACTATATAGTCAAAGGGTTTACCTCTGTGAATTTGCATAATTTGTACGAGTTCCAATGCGAATGTACAATAGCGTTTTTTTTAATAAAAAAAAAAAGGAAAAAAATTGTTGGATTTACCTCTATGAATTTACATAATTTGTACGAATTCCAATGCGAATGTACGATAGCGTTTTTTTATAAAAAAGGAAAAAATTATTGGATTTACTTCTATGAATTTACATAATTTGTATAAGTTCTAAATGCGAATCCCAATTCGAAACTTACGAAATTGATTCCTTTTGCCACCGAAAGATTAACACACGATGATTAGAGTGACTCACACTTGCCGCGCGCCGCCACTTCCGGGTCGGATTCGTCAACGCGAATTTCTCGGACACGCTCGCTGCGCTCGGTGGGATGTCTGCTATTCATAAATATAACGCGCGAGAGATTGCTTGGGAAAAGTCTCGGGAGGTATAGATACAGAGTCGAGATAAGCGCCGGGCTGAGCTAGGAGGAGATATAGAAAATTCGCCCGGCGGAAAAAGACTATCGCGGGCTCTGGAATGATGTATTACACAGCGAGACTTTTAGCTTTATCATCGAGATCAATGTACAGGGTCCCTCTCTTCCTCGCTCCCATTAGAGTTTTCGATTCCCCTATTCATCGCGCGTCGAATTTCATCTGCGCGCGGATTATCTCTTTGACGCTCGGGAGGAAACGATTCCCGGGCTCTTTTGAGATGAATTATGAAGAAAGCCGCGCTTTGTGAGAGCGGCTGATAAAATATTCCCGTCGTTGCCTCACCGCACGAAAGGCACGTCGACCGATTTCTGTCCTTCGGTCTTTCTTCTCTCTTTTTCAGCATTTAATATGGTACACACGCGGTAACGTATAAACAAAGTAACAATAGCATCCACGCTGTACGCTCTGGTATTTCTGGATATTGGATAGAAAATATTTCAGCCTACTTTCCCGTCTCAAAAAAAAAAAAAAAAAAAAGTAAAACGTGTCGACGTTACTTTTTATTTATACCGAGTAGCAGGAATTTATCGCATCGATTTCCGACCTTTTCGCAACCTCGTGGTTTCCGACGTTTCGACAGCTTGTCGTAATCGGAAACGTTAAAGGCGTCCGTTTTCCCCCCAGGCGGTTTTTCCGTATTGCCATTTCGCCAGTGACTTGTGAAATCTCATCTATTTGAGCAACTTCAATATCATTTAATTTCAATCATATCACATAAACATCACGTAAACCTAAATATCACATAAATTCATTGCAGTATGTGAAATCGTGAATACATATTATCTCGTATCAATTTGAAATGGAATTATTAGCTCCTGGATAACATCGCAATATGTGCAGGATTATTAATATTAAATTCTAAATCGTTAGACAAATTTTCCTATTTTTATATAAGTTTTTATGAAGAATATTATAAATTCTTAATGGCAATATTAAATTGTAGTGATCTTATGAGATGATTGTCAGGATAAATATTTGTCACATTTTTTATGATTTTATAATAATTGTTAAATTTACCGTCGGACATTATGTCGCTCTATTTACTTAACGATTTTAATTACTTCGCTCGACCTTAATATCCGAGAGTGCATATTATCATATTAAATAGATCACCAGCAAATTTTATGTACGCCACGCGATATTCTTCAATACTTGCGCGGGCAGCTCTCTGGCAGCTAAAGAATGTATAGGAAAAGTTATGTAAGAATACGAAGATAAATGACTGTCCTACGATTAATGGCTACGTGAATCATCGCTGGGAGATGTCACTGTAAATTATCAGTGGAACGATAATGTACGATAGAGCGATAAAAATTATGGAATCACGATTATATCCCTATATAGGTATATGAAGATCGACGCGCTTGCAGAAAAAGAGAAAGAGAGAGAGAGAGTCGCATCGAGCTTCTGCATCGTTAATGCGATGCAATTAGCAGGCAAAAGCATTATTGGGAAATAATCTGATTGCAAATCGCTGAGGTATACGAGTGGATATATAAATAAATTCCACGTTAATAGCCACATTTTCTGCATTCGAGGAATTCGGGTCGATACACAGGGGAACTTTCGACATCGTGAAAGCGCTGGTGTCGATTGATTTGCGATTATAACAAATCAACCGATGTCGAATTACAGATCGCGTGTTGGCGAACGAGCGTGAACGTTTTAATTTTACGCGGTATATCTATAGCAATATATATACATATATATATGTATATGTATTATACACATAATTAATATGTAACATAATAATACACATAATTAATATGTAATATAATAATACACGTAATTAATATGTAATATAATAATACACGTAATTAATATAAAACAATTTTTTTAGTAGTTAAACGCTTGACAAGCCATTACTAGTGTCTCTTGATACTTGTATCTGTGAAAGCGAACTAAAGGGATCTCGATCTCTAAAAAGAGAGTCCATTTCGATCTACCTCTGGAAAGACCTCTGCGTCGTGCTTTCCTCGGCGGGGAACAACTTCCCTTCTCGGATTCGCGGCGATTACCTCGAATTCGTCTAGTTCCCATTATCGCGAACAAAAGATTAGATTGCAGAGAGCCCGGAGGAGGGAAGGCAATCCGCGCTGCGGAAGAGAAACGGAATCCGTTTCGCAACGACGCGGGGCGAGAAGTCGCCTTAATTGCGCCGTTTGTTCGGTCGGCGATTTAACGTTGCGCCATTTGAAGCGCGCGGGGCCTGCAACGGCGAAAACTAACGCTTTTCGTCTAGCACTATAACGCTTCGCTGATATCGATTTAGTTAACCGGAGTTAGGCTTAACGCCGCGACTGTTTGTCATTTTCCACGGCTGGAACTGGAGAGGGATAAAGAGTCAACTAATTGAAATAATTAATCGACGGCGCTGTTTATTAGATCGTCGAGGGCGTATCCCACACACGCTCTTACGCTCTCTCTCTCTCTCTCTCTCTCTCTCTCTCTCTCTCTCACTCACTCTCTCTCCCTTTGTGTAAAGCACTATATTAGAATCTTGATAATAATAAAAAAAGAAAGTACGCTTAGTTGACTATAGTTAGTCGACCGAGGCCGAGAAAATCGATCCTTAGGCCTCGCTGCAGCCGTTCAGTTTTGTTCTTTTTTTTCCTGTGCTATTATACTATAGACGAAGTTACGCGAATCGCAAAACGTTTGACTTAAAACCGCATTCCAGTTTTAAATTGTGCTCCAGTTTTATTATGTCGTACTTTAGATACAGCCAGACCTAACAATGGCAACAATACTTTTTTTTTTGTTCAGTTGAACAACAAAGACGCCGGTATTTTGTTAAAAAGATTACACTTTTATTCTCGCGACGACTATTTTATTTTCAATTAATTCTAATTGTAACTTTAATCGAGGTTACACCCGAAAATATATTGAATAAATATTGATATTGTCGAGGATCTCTGGCTGCGCGAGTCAATCGATTATTCGGTATATTTTTTCAGAACCATCAGCATATAAAATCGAGGTGTACGCCAATATGATACAATAATTTATATTTAGAGATAAACGCCTGAAAAAAAAAGCTTCGGCAGTCTCACAGAACAGAATCGATGGTGATTACAGCGTGAAATCCGTCCACGGTGCATGAATTTCATTGGTGCGGACACGTGCACGTGTTATCGGCGAAATATTGAGAACGTGGAATGCGCGAAATGTTTTGGTTGTTTTATAATCTGCAGAACAATAAGCGACATTGGAATTCGTTTAAAGGGCCGTTGCTGCTCGGCGTTAGAACTTCGATCTATCACTTTAAAGCAGCACTGATGATAATTTAATATATACAATTTACTTATTAATTAAGCTGTTCTCCGAAAGCAGAAGAACGAGACTGACAATTTTATATACGGGCTTAAGGTACTTCAATTCAGCAAATCATTTCTTGAGAACAATTTTGCGCCGCGCCATTATCGATCGCCAATTAAATATCCAATATCGAACATCTCGCTAATTAAATCAAAATTCTGGAAAAAAGAAGACCAAAGTCCACTCTACGTAATTTAAGTGTACAACGAAATTGTGCATTTTAATCGCGCTCTCGTGCTTAATTCGCGAAAGAGAGCGCCTAATTATTTCAAAACTATTTCTATTCGCAAGAATTATCTCTTTCGCCCTCGGAGTTAGAAAAAAGAAGCTTGTCATTAACGGGAATTTCGCGACGCGAAATTCGCATTCTAATGACGTGGCGTTTACGTGACATCGCGTCGGGAAGGGGGGGGGCAAACGCGAGTATAGTGCTCTTGTAGAGCGCGCGTGATCGCGCACGGTTGCGCACACACGGGCGCGTCCGTAAATAGAAGAAGCTAACGAGTAATCGCCACGATGAATGAGGTTGTTGTTAGCGCATTGCCCATGCTCGCTTCCAATTACGGCACGGCGGTGGCGGCGGCGATGCACCGGTTTTTTCATAATTCCACGGCTGTAACGCGCGCGCGTGTGTGTAGGTATGCGCGCGGAACACGTGCCCGACGGTTGCGCTTCCTCGCGGCCGTGTAAACGGCCGTATTAAAACCGTCGCACGTACGTAGACTAGATTCCGCGTG